TTGGAGGTGGCGGCTGGTTGCAGGTGGCGGCTGGCGTGCAGGTGGCGTACTCCTCCGCGCCCCCCACGGCGCGCTGTCACCACGGCAGAAGACGTGTGACGTTTAGTGAGGATCCTAGAAAGGACAGGAGGGGCGATCTTTGTGGCACTGCGGCCGGGAGGGGTGCACAGCGTAGGTCGGCGATCCCAGCCCGCCGTGTTTGGGTTCTGGGGCACGTGTGTCCTCCATTAACCCCCCCCCACCCCCACCCCCACCCCCAGAACGGGCAGTGTGCTTGGCCTGCCCTCCAGACAGGCTGCGGGAGCTCCCGGGAGAAAACTCCGGGCGGAAGGCCGTCTGAGCTCTGCAGCCGCCGAGGAGGGACCAGGAGCGCCTGGGCTCCAGCAACCCGCGCAAAGACACGGGGTTCAGCTTGGTGGGCGTTAGAAACGGTTCACAAGAGGGGAGGGACTTAGCATAGACAAAGATCTGTGGTCTTTGTCGCTCAGTTTCCAAGGAAACATTTTTTTCTGCCTAATATTGTGATGTGGAATCAGACAAGAGAAAACAAAAAGAGTCATTCAGTCAGCTGAGCCAGGGTGCAGAGCGGGAGCGGACTGTGTGGGAAGAGGTTGCAGGGGCTTCAGTGAGAAGAAAGAAATGAAAAGGCTAGAAGTCGAGATTTCAGCCGCATCCCAGGAACCTCCAAATCCGGGGAAGCTTCCCGGATGAAGGGGAGGAGAGTGTAAGTGGATGTCACGTGTGTGTGTGGGGGGGGGAACACACAAAACGACCTGGAAAGCAAGGTCGGAGCTCTGAACAGGAAAGGTCCGGAAACACCCCTCCACAACTGTGAAATTTAAGAACATCAAAGATAAAATTGCGAAAGGTTCAATGAAGAGGCCATCACTCAAAACATAACAGACTTGTCATCTTCCATTTTTAGCTAAAAAACTGGACAAAACAGATGAAATCACGGCGTTCAGACATTGGACATGAGGTGCGGGCCAGTGGCCCCCGAGAGAAGAGAGAGCGACCCCGTGGTTGCCCCAGCGGACGGCCTGGAGAGCCCA